CCCCTAGAAGACAACAAGAAAAAACCTATTTCTATTAGTTTATCAGTCTGTAATGGTCTACAGAACCTTGAGCATGTGGGGTTTACATTTTCAGGTTACCAGGCCATTTCAGACAGGGACCCGAAATCTTCCGTCCGATTAAGTGTGGTGTACGGAAGGCAGAATAAAGAAAGGCCTTCAAATACACACACGATATAGCGAAAACAAGCAATACGGACTCAGGACTGTTATAGTGAGAATATTTGCGTTATTAATGAGCTATAGCCTATATACTCAGGAGCAGGAAATTGATACACAAATTAGGCACAAACTACAGAAAATCAGAAAGCAAGATTCACATTTAGAAAAACAAAAAGGGCTGAGAACTGTGTCCCCAGGACTCCTAAATGAAGTATAAGCCACCCTGAATTACTGCTGGATCCCAGCTCACCTCTCAGATTTCCATCAGCCCCATGGAGACTATTTAAACAGGAGGGTTACAAATCCACAATTGAACATGTGCAAGTGAACCCTGACGAATTCCAGTTTCAGAAACCAGGGAAATCATAGTCGTTAAGAGTTTAGTAAAAATTAATATAGCAACACTTGCTGCCACACGGCATCTGAGTGTCACAGCCTGAATATCAATATTGTCAGGAACTTCTCAGCAATACTTAACTGAGCAAGTCAATGATATCTCAGGGGGAGCATTTCAGAAGGGAGCTAGGAATAGACAAAGTTCACTCACAATGGGTAAACGGGGGTGGGGGTGGGGGAGGAAGACCAGTAACTGGCCCACTGAGAATCCAGACCATTTCCAAACATAAATGAGAAATTATGTGGGTCTGAAAAATCACAGTAAAAGGTATATTCCTGAATTCCCAATTCCACTGCAAATTAAATGGTATCTGCATCATTTCAATATTACAATACAAAACAGCACATATTTTCACAGGGGCAAAGGGATTAGGAAGACAGATGCATTAAATCAACTGCAAGCTGTAATTAATCTGAGTATTTCCTTTTGCATGCATGCCACACAGACACACAACAATGGAACAGAAACAGCTTCAGGGGCAGGGACAGGTGAAGGCCAAGCACCCTCTGCATGACAAGGACAGTGCTACCTAGAACGGACACAACAGAGAACTTTTCACGCCGGGCGGGACGAGATCAGGGCTATCGTAAAATTTCTACACCTTTGCTTCAGAGAAATGCAGCCACGGGAACAAGGACTGTGAGATTTCTGTCCATACTGGTCATGTCTGTAGGGGCGAGATCTTCATAAAAGACATCATGCTGGAAAAGAAAGGAAGCTCCAACATGATATGGACAATAGGCTCGGCCACAGTGGACACTATGGAGCTGGCACAGGGCTGTGGAAGGTTTTCATACACTGTGTATAAGGTCCGCATGAGTTAAAAGGCACCTAACTTAACATCGTCTTTTAATTAAAAGACATACTGCAATGGGAAAGTCAGCTGTTAGGGACCTGTCCAAAGTACTGGAGAGCACTGGTGTCACTCTGGAGACTAAGGTGCACGTGATACAGGCCATGGTCTTTGCTATCACTTGCTATGCATCAGAGAACTGGTCAATGATTAGAGAGGAAAGAAGGAGAATTGATGCCTTTGAGCTGTGGTGCTGGAGAAGAGTACTGAATGTACCACGGACTGCCAGGAAAACGAATAGGTTCACGATGGAGAGAGTGAAACCAGGCTGCTCCCTGGAGGCAAGGATTCTGAGGCTTCGTCTGACGTACTCTGGACATGTTGCAAGGAGGGACCATTCCTTGGAGGAGGACATCATGCTTGGAAGAGTGGAGGGGCGGCGCAGGAGAGGAAGACCCTCGATGAGGTGGATTGATTCAGTGACTAGGGTAACTGGGGTAGGTATGTCAGAGACAGTGCGATTGGCACAGGATAGAGCAGGGTTTAGGGCTGTTGTACATAGGGTCGCTATGAGTCGCAAACGACTCGACGGCACATAACAACAACAACATAGTTTAAACTGAATGATCTCTTTGATCAAACTTTGATTCTACGTGGCTTTACTTGAGTTCACATGAGAAGGAAAAGGCCTGTACGGCAGACAAGAACTGAACATATTTGTTACAGTCAGCTCTCTTGGATGTTAATGTTAATGCTGTTTTACTTTCACAAAAGTGGGGCTAAAATAATGATCAAAGAGAAGGAAATGCTGAAATGTTTTCCGAGATGACTAGAATGGAGAACTTTGAACTTGAGAATATATTATTATTGACATCAAATAGATCAGATTATTAAAACGATCAATAGCCTCCTGACCTGCTAAAAATGAGTAGGACCTAAAGCCTGTGGTGATGAGGATAAAACACGACGGCGTTCAGTATGGATTATCCCACAACACAAGGAAAAACAAAATCTTCACACATGGCTGTATTTTAAACAAAATCATAATAAACAGAGAAAAGACTGAAGTCATCAGTGATTCATTTGATTTAGGTACATAATCAACATCCGTTAAAACAGCAGGTAAGAAACTGGCAAATGGCACTAGACAAATGTGCTGCAAAAGGGCTCTTTATTTGTTGTTGTTGTGAAGTGCAGTCGAGTCGCAGGCGACTCACAGCCGTGTTCAAAAGATGCTCCGTGAAGACAGAGGTCTAACTCAGCCAGGCCATGTGACTTCCAAATACCGCATACACACGGAAACGTCAGACAATGCACATGTATGTAGAAGAATCGATGCACTTGAATTACAGTGCTGGCCAGGAACACTGAATGGACTGCCAGAGAATGGAAACTCTGCCTTAAAAAAGGTACAATCAGAATGTTCCTGAAGGCAAGGATGGTGAGACCTCATCTCTCTTACTTTGGGCATATTATCCAGACAGGTAAGGGTTAGTGTACCTGGAGAAGTACGTTATGACTTGGTAAAAGACACTGTCGGTCGGAAAGAGAAAGAACGTCAACGAGATGAACTGACAGCTGCTTTAACCACAGGCTCAAAGACAGCAGTGACTGCAGGGATGGCACAGAACCAAGAAGAACCTGCCTGGTGGTGAACAAGGTCTCTATGTATATGAAATGACACAGGGAACATGCTAACAATACAGACATCATTGTCACCATCTCCCTTCACCATTCAAATTAAATACTAGCAATAAAATTATTCATAAAGGCACCCTGCACAGATTTCTAATTTATAGTCATCATATATTTATTTCCACCCTGAGAGCTATAAACACATAAGCATGCCAAAGATCATCACTATGCAAGGTATTTTCCTTACGCTGTACTTCGGGTTTTAGCTTTGATCACAAGGCAATTTAATTCTACGCCATTCAAAACTCTAAAGAACAAAATCAATGCTACTACTCCTTTTTTAAAGTAACCGTCAGTGTTCTGCTCTGAGGTCTTGAGAAGCAGGGACAATGGTCTCATCATTCAGGGCCACGCTCCCAACATTCAGATACCTCCTAAAAGAAAAACTCCCAAGTAAAACTAAGACACAACACAACTAAATGGCAAAACGGGCAGGAGAGTGCACAGAGAGTAAGATGAATTCATTCCACCTGTCTGGCTGTAAGCTGGTTCAAGAGTCTTGGGGACAGGGGAGCTCTGGTGGCCTAGTGGTAAGGAGCTGCAACTACAATCCCAGAGGCGCACGGTTCAAATCCACCGGATGCTCTGCTGGGGAAGGAGGGGCAATCTCCTCCTGTACCAGTCAGATCTAATTTGATGGTACACGCACACAAAATAATAAAATAAAATAAAAAAATAATTTTAAAAAAAAGAGTCTTGAGGACAATTCCAAGAGGAACTGGCATCCTCAGTGGAGATTCTAGATAGTGTTCAGTGCCACGTCTGCAGGAGCGCCTGGTACAGAGCAGAAACTCTAGCTTGTCAGAGGGAAGGATGTGGGGGTGAGAAAGAGGGAAAAAGACCTGATCCTATTTAAACAGCTGAGTATGTGTACACCTCCTTCACCGGGGCCCGTGAAGATCCTCTGCATGGCCTATTACTTAGATTACTTCTCTCAAGGGTCACAAAATGAGACTGGGGAGGAAAGCAATGCCACATCGTGAGCCCTCTGTGGACCTGCTCTGTTGAAATAAGTGGCATTTTCAGGAGATTCCTGAGTATGGGAACTCATGCTCTCACTCACTGCCATCGAGTCAGAAGCAAATGATCCTCCACTGGTGTCTCAAAAAGGTGTCAATCACACAGGGGGAGACTGTCCCCCACAGATGCTCCCAGAGAATCTTTCTCCTGTGGATTCAACCGCCAGAGAAGGGCCACATTTGGGTTTAGCAATGCAACTCTCTCCAGATCCGGACTGACACGCCATTCAGCGGGTTCCACTGCAAGTCAGTGCTGAAGTTGAATACAGATTTAAAATCAAATGGTGCTTCTAATGGTACAAAACCCATAGGGGCCTGATCTATAAATAAGCAAGCTGTCACCAGTGTCATAACAATAAAGTCAATCTGTAATGGCCGTCAGGTATGCGCACAGTTCAATAGTCACAGGTTTAGTGTGAAACCTTGTCCACCTTTCTACCATTGCAACTTCCAACACAGACTCAACTGTAGGCCACCCCTGAGATACCATACAAGACACACTCAACTACAGGCCGCCCCAGCTACCATACAACACTGCTTTGACAAGACTAAACATCTGCAAATGATACGGTCAACAAATTTCACTCTTAACACTTTTTGCTTGTTTGTTTGTTTTTTCCCTCTTCACACTTTTAAGTAGTACATATTATTATGAATAAAATGTACACATGCTCACAACATCCCTAACTGTGATGCATCTTAATTTGAAAATGTTTTAAATCAGGGACAATCTGAATCTAATGCAGCTACTATAAATGCAGGGCCTGAGTGTAGAAGAAACTGCAAAGGAAAGACTGGGAATAGAGTTGAAAGTGGAACCTGCACACAGAATCATGTGGACAATCTTATCTTCCCACTGGATTAAACACGTGCAGGGGAGGCTGGGAGAATGAAGACACTAACACAGGTCACTTACAGCTGTCCACGCCTTTCTTCTGCAGCGGGCACAGAGCCATCCATCAGAAACCTCCTGAGAAGGGAGACCATAACAACCTAAAAAATAAGAGTGTGCACCCGTACATTAGCTCTTCTGCCCCTTTGAAATAAGACACCCAGTAAGTAGACCCAAGACAACTGCCGACCAAAAGCATCTGACTCCTACTGTCTGGAACAAAACTCAAGCAAGACTATCTCAAAGATGTTTGTGGTACTGAGGCTGCTTAATCAGTAGACTACTGTCCAAGGAACTAGAAGAGTGGGAGGCTTAGTGTTTACTAATGTCCACAACAGCTGTCACTCATATATGGATGACAAGTCTGTAATGGGAAATAACAAAATTATAGAACAAAATGCCCTATCTCGTCATTCATCCGTGCAGAACAAAGTTCTGAAAACACTGCAATCCAGGGAGCAGAATTTGTGACAGAGATAATAAATAACCTACAAAATCTAATTTTATAAATAACATTCTCAAAATGCATTCGCTTTCACTTCAGCACCAAGGCTGAAGGATTAACAACCCTGGGTCAGTGATGAAAGCATATCTTCAATTCAACTCAAGACTTGCAGGCCCAAAAGCAACGAGCCAAGGAGATGGTTATGATATACATGTTATGTAACTTCAGAAAAAAAGAGGACTTTAGGATTTAACTAAAGATTTTAAGAAGATAAGTTGCTGTAATATCTGGAACGGGAACAGAAAACAACATAAGTATAATTAAGCAAAGGAAAGCCTCTCATCATTAGCCAGGTTAATTCATTGTGGCTACATGACACAGTCACATAAACTACGGTGACTAAGTAAAATAGTTAGCTGGAGTAGAAGTCAAAATTAATTGTGCACTTTCTTGTGCATTGGCACTTTGCCTCACGCATATATTTAGCAATAAGCAGGGAATGTAAATATGCATGCATGATTCAAAACAATTTAAACCAAAAATGGTCACTGTAATTATATTTCAGCCATATAATAATCCTTTGTAAAAACAAGTAGCATCTAACTAGTTTATAAATATATTTACATAGATGACAGGGAAGCTACTTCAAACATAAACTAAGCAGAGTGTTGCTGCTGTTGTTGTTGTTGTTGTTAATTGCCTTTGAGTCGAGCACAACTCATAGCTACCCTATGAACAAAAGGCCTGAAGCCCCTCTACAACTATCGACATTTATCAAAGTTCACAGAATTTCTGGAGGCATGTTATATAGGAAGTGGATGCTACTCCTGCTTCTAAACCTGTCAGAGTATGTTATTGTTGTTATGGGCCACCGAGTCACCTGTGACATATAGTAGCTCGGAACGCTTCCCGGTCCTGAGCCAGTCTCACTAACTCAGGCATATAAAAAAACCAATCTCTATGTTTTCTCTCATTAGATTTACAGCCTCTGAAAACCCAGTAGAGGGTCAGTCATGGGTCAATTCCATCTTGATAGCAATGGGTTTTAGAGAGTATGGAGGAGACAGACCATGTATTAGTGGATTAATGAAATATGTAATTCGGTAAGTCCTAAAACAAGAGTTGTTGGATGTAACAAATCTCTTTTACTTATTGCAGAGGATTTATGAGGCAGGTACGTTAAATTGTATTTATCATTTATTCAGTTTTAAAAAAAAAATCCAAAACTGAGTTAGCAAAATCAAAACTTCCTGAAGGAAAGAATTTATAATGACTTGACCCAAAGGCAACAGAGAATTCCCTATGTTTATAAAGAATAAAATCTGCTGAATTAGCCCTGTCTTAATTATCAAAAGCATCAAAGGAATGTCCAATTCTCTTTACTAAAAGAAACTACAAGTGAAAATATCCATCAAACCAAACTCAGAGAGTCAAATTAACTTTTCAAAACCATTTAAAAAGTCATTAAAACTCAAGCCACTAAAAGGCACTCCACGGTGGCAATGAGCTGCTCTTACTGGGTATCCTGGCTACCATGGTGTTACCAATTAACAAAACGGATACTGAAGGAAGGGTGCTTGGACATCAAATACAGTAATAAAACAAAATAACCCTGTCCTCCATTGGTACTAAAGGAAAATGAAGAGAAAGTGATGACGGTTGTATGTACTCAACGTTTAGAGAAAAAGTTATCTTACGTCCAAAATTCCAATAGTTGAATGCAATAGACTGACACGTTGAAAGCATATAAAAGAAAAGGACTCAAAAGCCAGAATTGGCTGAACAATGAATTCATTTACTTGCATGAACCCGTACGTAGCACTTGGCGCAGGAAATCAGAAGGCTCGTGCCGTCTACTTCAAGGAAGGCACTGGCTGGAGAATGGTCTAGATTTTCTTCGCTATAAATAAAACACATCTCGGGAATGAGTGGCTTCGTCTTTTCTCTCAAAGGGATTACTTCTTCTGACTTTGTTGCCCATCTAGCTTCATTTTCTTCACTACTGCTGTCTGGCTGAAAAATAAAATAAAGGCACATGAGCGGAAAGCCCAGGGAAAGAAAGGTCTCTTCATTGGTTTTGGTCTGTTAGGTCCACTAGCAGCTGCTGTATCTTTCATATCCTGTACTTTCTCCTTTCAAGCCAACTCTTAGTATTGATAAATACTAGTTCTCAGACTCTCGCCCAGAAGAAGTTAAGAACAAGAAGGTCTGCTGTATGTCTATTCCTGAAAGAAACTGATGCGCTGTTGGGATCAGCGTCTTGAGAGCATTGTTTCTTCTGATGCTTTTGCTTGGTCCTTTAACCTATGTTCACTCACTGAAGAACATGACCTGGTTCCGCTTGAAGGAACATTTGCAAAGACCTTAGTTTAAATCTGGGGTAATAACAAAGGCTCTGGCTCATAGCAAGGTAGTAAGCGAGAACGACCTTGTGCCTCCTTCTAACTATGAAAGGACATTGTCCCAAATAAAACCGCCAGAGTGCCCTAAAATATACAAGGTTGATGTTTAGTTCAAAATCTAGTAAATGGACTATTTTGTGCTCTCCGGAGATCTATTAATTCATGGCTAAAAATGTTAAAATTAAAAGTCTGGAAAGGAAAATCAAGATGCTCTGTCAGTCACCAGTGCTACTTCAAATACACTGAATCAAACATGTTAATAACATTAAAGGGAAGAGACTCCATCCTCTATTTCCTGGAATCTAAAAGTGAAGACACATTCTCACACTGAAACATCTAAACAGATGAGCGTTCCCTTGACCCAGAACTCTGAGATGTGATCTTGAATGAAATGTTTCTGGTTCTATTAATGAAAACATAACCCAATCCCCAATATTCTTATCAGTGTACCTTATAACATATTGGACCTCAAAGGAGACTAAGTACTACCAAGCTACTAGATTCTGAAAGAACAATTTTGGCTGTTGGTGCTGAGAATGTGAGCCTCCATGAGGTGAGATGCCATCAGTACAACATGCATAACATGATGCAAAGACTCACATTCCATTCAGCTGATCAATGTCCATTTACTGGCCTGTCCAGTTTGGTCTGGTGTGACCTCTGTGTCTCCCATCCAGAGAGATGAGAAGAGATTGATCTTTTTATTATGTGAGAGTGATATTTTCAAAAATGAACACGAAAGTCAGTCTAAGCACCCTCAAAAGTTTCTACTGTTTTCACGCTGATAAAACAGAAAGAAAGGTTCGAACAGTCTCCTTCTTGACATAAACTAGGACTAGGCAAAGAGCAGGAGCTCTGGTGACCAAGTGGTAAGCAGCTGAGCGGCCACCCTAAACACAAGCAGTTCAAATCCACCAGCTGTTATGCAGGATTTGAAATTGCCCCATGCAATTTCAGCCTCTGAAAACAAAAACCTCTCGAGGGTTCGATCTCCATGGTACATGACAACAGGAGACAAAAATCAAAAGTCCCAGAGCTGTTGTATCTAGAGATTCTGCTTGTTTCCTGAGAGGCGATTAGCTATACTGTCTTCCTATGAAAGACAGCACAGAACCCTAGCGGTGTACTATGCTGCAGGTTGCACTGTTAAATGAAAAGTCAACTGTTCGAATCCAGACGAACCTCTGAGGGGACAATATAGGGCAGTCTACTACTATAAAGATTTACAGAATCATAAATCCAGTGAAGACTCATCACAGATCAAGAAACCAAAAGCCACGGGCATCTGAAAGCTGTCGCTGCATGAATTTTAATGTATTCCTTTGTCTGTGCCTCCTAATCCTCCAGGGACCGCCAGGTGGCCACTGGAACTTTCACAAACAATAGAGAACAGCTCTGCGTGCTCCCTCTTACCTTGTAGTAGGGCATGAGTAGTGTGCAGATAGCACAGTACGGCTCCATTCTGGCCACGACTGCATTGTAGTCTTGCTCAGCCCCGAAGTTGGGAGTCTCCGTCTGCCAGATGTGGACCAGAGGCTTCGCCCAGGACTCAGTTTCTACCAGCTGCATCTCAGGTGAAGGTGCCTCGGGCAACTCTTGAGAGAAAGAGCGTGAAAGGTGAGTGAGCAAGGACCCAGGAGAATACCCCAGACTAGGAGAGAAGTGAACATTACAAGGTGTGCAATGCCAGACACAAGCAACACTGCATTTTCCTGAGAGAACTTGGAAAGAAATGGAACAAAGGGACTCTGCCTCTCACTCTCCTCAGTCTTTAGAGATTCACGATGCAATTCCATTGTGGATGGATTTTCATTAGTCAGGGGCAGTGAACACCAACCAGCCAACTCTAACTATAAACTGAACCGCAGAAGCCCTCCAATCCACAGGAGTTTCCGAAGATATGTGCGAACCAGGAGCATCAAATGTCATCAGGTCGTTGACTCATGGGTCATAAGTGTCACAATCACTTGGTTATAAACAGTTGGTACTACATCACCACACACACTATATAACCAGTGTGTCTGAAACTGTGAGGATGGCACGGGACAGGAAAGAGTTCAGATCTGTGGTTCATAAGGTCACTGCGGCTTGTACTCGATGGCACCTAACAACAACAACAAAACAACATAATTACTAGCAAAATATTAACCATGATCATTTGCTTTAGAAGAGAATGAAATCCACAATAAACAGCTGGCCCATAGCAGGCTGAGGTAATGAAAAGAGTGACCACTGGCAACTTTCACATGGTCTGACTTCAAACACTGGTGGGACAGCGAATCTCCTAAAATATGTTAGGATTATCAAAAGTTAGTGTGAAATGGTCTCCAATTCCCTCAGAGATGGAAGGAATAGAAGTCTAGTGGTAAAGCCAAAAGAGTAAAAAGTCTCTGTGTTAGGGTTACGGTGGATGTGGCATGTGCTAAGCCAGCCACTCCAATTCTGTTCTCATCACAGAGCTTAGAATACAGTGGCCAAAGGCCAACGAATGACCTCTCTTCAAATGTCCCAACACTGCCCTTCCCCAGGGGAAAGTCTCACCCCAGCCCAAAGAGCCTTCACACCATCTCCAAGGCTCGCCTCACTGTGTATTACTGACTCCACAGTCACTCTCGCCTCAAGACCCAAAACCCCTCTCCTCTTCCACAAGCAATGCAGCAGCCCCCTACGGCAATTAGATCTTTTCCTTGCAGTGAACGCGTATCAAGTGTGAGGTCCAGTACCACACATGGTGCTGATAAATGACGACAGCTGTCAGAGAGAATCTCGAGGGACACAACCCAACACATGGATTATCATGAGGAAGACGAGGTTCCTAAAGTCAGAACTTCAGACATTCCTAAATTTGCCCAATTCTGAGAAAACGCAGGCTTCTTGCAAGCCACTTGAGAATCTTAAGATGGAGAAAGATCTTCAGAAGACTTCCATTCTACTTGTACTTCTACTCACCATTTAGACAGAAACTTCTTTCACTAAGTGATAAAGCATCCCAATTGGGGGAGGGGGAACGTTCACTGGTAACAGAGGTTGTTAGATACGCAGTTAGCACCTGTGTAGATAATGAGGTTTTTATTTTTAAATAAGTATTTTTCCGTTTATTTTCTATATAAGGCAGTTTAGAGTTTTAAAGAAAAAGTGTGTATGCAATGCATGAAAGAATCAAATCAACACACCTAAATGCATTCTATTCATTTAGTGATTGTTGTTATTACTGCGGTTACATACCATTGACTCAGAACTGACCCACAGATGAAATACCATTCAGAAGTTGTCAGAGGCAGGAAATCATATAAGAAGTGAATGCCCATTTTCCTCCCACAGAACGGCTGGTGGACTTCAACTGTGTGCCTCTGGGTTGGCAGCACGACACTTTATCACAAAGCCACCAGTGCTCCCTCTAGTTTGGGGATGCTGTTGTGACTGCTGTTTGCCATCAAGGCAGAACTGTCTTCAAAGAAATAACAGCACAGGAGGAGACTGCCACCATTCTACTGGGAAGAGGCTGGGGATTCAAACCACAAGCCTTTCTGACTGCAGTGCAGCTCCTTACCACGAGGTCACGAGAGCTCCCCAGGTTGGGAATAGAAAGTTTAAATCTAGGGCAAAAAATTTGTTCAGGGAACCCAAATAATTTTGGCAAAGAATATATAATGCTTTTAGTTGTACTCCAAAACAATGGTTATTAAATTACACTCAAAAGAGCTCTGATTTATGCCATTATAATGAACACATTTGTCTGTGCCAGTATAAAAAAATCATCACAGACACAAACAAAAATCAAGATTTTGGGAACTAAGATGAATGTGTACAAACGCTGTAATCTTAAGAGTTTGTCTAGAATCTTGAAACTCCGTTTCTTCATCTGTGAAATGAGTAACAGATTATATAGACTGCAGGGTTTAAAATAAACCGCATGAGAGGCTAGCCATAAAGCTTCTGGTGGCTGCCAGGCAAGTCTTTGGCCCCCACAAGACGAAGAGTTCCCCTCTGACATCCAGCCCAGAAAACAGCTTGTTTTAGTCATTAAGCCCAAAGACTAAACCTTTAAAATTAACAATTCCTTTTTAAAATCATAGATAATGAGAACAAATGATCAACAATTACCTTAAAATAAGGATGAGGATGTGAGGGGGACTAGGAACCAAGCTTACTGGAAAAAAGACAAGAAAAAATAAAAAATGTCCAAGCAGTACCAAAATTGGAACTAATATCACCGAATAACTTCTGAAGAAATTACTGACTGGCAACCTAAACTGCTGTGTAAACCTTCACAGAAAACCCAGGAAGACACTATTAAGGACACCGACAACAGAGATGAGGAAGTGAAAATCTCTGCAGATACTAACTGCATATATATGTGTGTATGTATTTTTTATCTAGTGCGTATATATGTGTGATAGAACGATTTTCATCAAAAGACTGCTCCAAAAAGAATGCCATAACTCCCCTTCTGATGGAAAAAGACAAGTGAGTCGTGGTGGTTCAGTGGATTATGTGTTGAGCCACTAACCAAAAACTCACTAGTCATGCTGAAGGAGAAAGATACAGCAGTTTGCTTCTGTAAAAATGTACATCTTGGGAAAGCCTACGGGACATCATGCTTGCACGGACAAAGCGTCACTACAGAAGAGGCAGCCCCTGGCTGAGATGACTGTGTGAGGGCAAATACTAACGCAACGCGGCCGGAGAGGATAAGAGAGCTGCCCCACCTTTTCCCTACAGAGCAGCTGCTGAGTTCCCTTAACAGCCAGACCTTACATCGCTCGAAACAATCCACCACCAGAGCTCCAGAAAAGCGGGACCACAGCCTGGGATAAGTATCAGTGAGCCATTTCCTAAACTACTAACTGGAAGCACTGGGCGCCCCCTTTTCCCACAAGAGATGGGGTAGGAGGTGCCCAAAACACCAGCCAGCACCAGACTGTCCCTGGCCAGTTTCCAGGAAGGAGAAAAAAAAATTCAGATTGTAATTTACCATAAAACTAAATTTTAAAATACATATATAAACTATCAGTCTGCACACTGACTCCTCATCTTGAGAGCAAGTAAATAAAAAGTGGACATAATCAGTAGAAATCAGAAAACGTGGTTCAAAATGTGGGGAAAAGTTGATAGACATTGTTTTTTTCACACCGGACCTTTCCCCTTTCACTTACCAACCCCTCCCTCCAATAATCAAATTGTGTGATTCTCTATTTGTGAAAAACAATGCGTATTACTTTAGTATGTACATCAGTATCATTTTTTTTAAAAAAGAAGACAAAAAGAGGGCGCTCTGGTGGCCTAATGGCAAGAAGCTGGACTGCAATCCCAGAGGTACACGGTTTGAATCCACCAGATGCTCTGCTGGAGAAGGAGGGGCAATCTCCCCCTGTACCAGTCAGATCTGATTTGACAGTACACACACACAAAATAATAAATTTTTTAAAAAAAGAAGACAAAAGTAAAGAAAATCTAATATGTATGTATATTGCTTTGATTTTAAAACAGATAAATATAGTATGCATTCAAAATAAAATTTTTAAAATTTATGTAGAAAAAAAATGTGGGATAATTCAGTGGCTTGTTAGCTGAGGCCAAAGTCCCAGAGTAAGGAAAGTGTGAACAATTTTTAGGAACTACAAAATGATAGGTTTCAATTGAATGGTGTGGAATCAGTTTCTTTTTAAAAAAAAGTCAAATAGTGACCTCCTCATACACTTTTTAGTCTAATCCAGTAATGACTGTTTCTCAGGAACGGGACAAGTCATGGAGTTCTAGTGAAAGCTGTCTCCCTCAACACTTCACACACGAAGTCAGAAGAATGGAAGTCTTGTCTGTCGGGTTACAATTCCAAAACTTTCAGCACATTTAGACATCTGATCGCCCGACCTTATGCCAAGCATCATCTACAGTGGGTTGGAGTTGGATTTTGAGACACTCAGAATGCAATCAAATTACAAAGCTAGCATATTTTTTTTGCCTCTAATTCAATCAAAACTTGACCCAACCACTAGCATAATAAGAGCAAGGCGGTTTTGATTTGTATCCTCTTGTTAGGGTAACAGGCAGTGCCACTGGGGCTTCCAACAGAACATACCCACAGAGACAGCAGGCTGAGCTGAGAAGGCCTGAGACTATCACACAGCTAAGTGGGAGATTACTACCCAGCCGATCTGAGAGCCAACGGCAGCTCATGTTTTACGTGCACATAACGCAGGGAAACACTGGCTGTGACCTATCAACACACATTCCATACCAATCGACTTAGTAATCTGCTGAACTGGCTGTTTTACTGCTTAAACAGACAGAAATATAACTGTGCTTATTATGAAAGTATAGCATTACCCCTAGCTAATGGGGAATGATTGAACAAGGAGAGGCAATCATTATGCAAAAATTAATAATGTTTGGAGCATAATATGCAGCAGTCCTAAAACGGGATTTGTTTTTCACAACTGGCAGAAAAAGGGACTCCATATGCAGGTGAAGGGTGTTCTTACACTTCACTCATCCACACTTGTCCTCTGAAATCAAAGGCCAGCATGAAGACAAGAGCGTGTCCCCTCACATGATGCCAACATGGATTTAAAGAAAATTCTAGTTTGAACAGAAAACTGTGAATGATCCAAGAAGGTCTTCTTACAGATGAGTAAACTGAGCCTCGGGAAAGGCTGAGCCCACACTGACAGTCAGAGAAAGGCTCTACCCCTGTCTACCACCAACACCCATGAACAGGGAGGCAAGTGCCCATTACTGTCTGAAAGTGCAAACAATTAGATGCTTTTAATATTCAGAATCATGTTTGTCTTTCATTTAATCACTGAAGTGACATTTGCAAAGTTCAGATCCATAAAGGACATCATGATTTTCTTTGCTCAACAGAGTCCCTTTAGTAAATTCTTGAAATACCAGAAGTAAAAAGTAAGACTGGTAAACCTGACACCGCTCCTTTTGTTTGACGATGACTGCAAAGTGCACGAGAGCCGGCCCCTAAGTGGTGCTGCTCCCAGCACAGGGACGCTTCCGCACGCTTGGCCCAGAGAATGAATGAGACCGCGTGATGCACACAGGAACCACTGGGATGTCAGCAGAGAAAACTTTGTTTTTAATTTTATTTTATTATTATTTTTTGTGCATGTACCGTCAAATCAGATCTGACTGGTACAGGAGGAAATTGCCCCTCCTTCTCCGGCAGAGCATCTAGTGGATTTGAACCACATACCTCTGGGATTGCAGTACAGCTTCTTGCCACTAGGCCACCAGAGCCCCTCTAACATCTTTAAAAAAAAAAATTAAAAAAAATAAACTGGGCAGCTGAGCCTTTGGAAAATAAACTGAAGACAAGTTTATAGGTCAAGTGCAACATAAACACCAGCATGGGTTTTTTTTGTGTGTGTGTTTTTTTTAAGTGAAATTCAAAATAAACATCTTGGGAGGGTGACAACTGTCAAACTTGAATTCCTGAGATTTCACTTCCGTGTGCTTAGGTGGATACATCACAACAACTGACATCCTAGGTTAAATGGGTTAAATAATGGCCCCGCACCAAGAATACGCTCTGATTACAGCAGCGACTTCCATCTCCTCCTGAATATTTAAATTTTTAATCCGTTGTTAAATGAATAGGCTGACTTTCCAAAAACCACATTACTGGAACAGTGTCTGAAAGACTTCCGAGCTAAGCCCAGGGCAGCAGACACTGTAAAGATAGGGATCGGGGCCTAAGCTGTCTTTAATTTCAAAGAGATGCTTAACAGCTCATTACCACTTGGCTTCTGCTGAACTGCTAATTTATGAAGTTACTCAGACATTGCTCAGATGTTGTTCAGAGGAAAGCAGAGTCATGACTGTGGCTTTCATCTGAGTCCCCTCACTATTCACACTTGGAGATGGGGTCGCATGTACCGTGGGGAAGCACACTATAGATGGGTATCTGAGTCCTTCCACCGTTCTTATTATTATGCTAGAAATGAGAGAATTACCATTAATGGCTTCTATGTAAAAACGGGATCCAGTGATGGCTGGCTCTTCAGAAAATGTTGAAGACTTCTACATAAAAATGGGTTCCAACAGTGATCAGCCCCTTTGAAGACCTAACAGAAGAGGCCAACCATGCTTCATTCCACTTCAGTGCACTGACGACGGCCCAGTAACCAGCCTGGGGACAGGGAGGTAGGAGCCCTGACCACATTAAGAAAGGCTCGCATTTCAAACCAGAGAAAAGCAGGGGAGGACAAATCTTGAAGGAACCCAAGCAGACCCTAGCATGGAGACCATGTAAATGCTCCGAGCAGCAATGCTGCAGGAAGATATGCCCTCTCAAGCCTATGAGACAAGTTTGCTAGACTAATCCATTTCGAAATTTTTGGAAGCTGTACAGAGAAACAGTTTCCACAGAGAATAGAACGTTGGAAAAAAAGAAGACGTTAACAAAAGCAACATTATTTTCATACATTTCATGACTTCTACTACAGAGACACACTTCATACTTCTATTTGCTCAAACCAGAATTCTACTCTGGGTTGGCTGCATAGAAAATAGTATTCTTCCTGCCTGGACCCTGCATCCACCATAGCTATATAAATTAAATTTGAGATGTGAAAGAAGACAATAAATAAATAAAAAGACACCCACTAATGATGGCCACTGTGATATATTCATGAAACTAAACACAAAGCTTGAATCCAACATTCGTGTCACTCCTCTGACAGCGTCTATGCCTGGTAGTAAGGGAGCTGCAGGCTAACAACACACAACTTGAATCTACTCGCTTCATCACTCCAGAAAGAGGATTTCTTCTCACGTGATCTACTGTGCAGGAAAACCGACTGGAGGATCAGCTATGAGTTGGCCCCAACTAAATGGTACACAACAACAACAGCAACATACATCCACGTGATCTTCACTAAGGAGGAAGAAAAATCACAAGCTTTTTATAGCTTCCAATCTGAACAGATCCTTTTAAAGATGGAGAAAGTGGGTTTCTCCTAATGCTCAGAGACATTTACAAGGAATAAAAGCTGGTCAGTGGTCTGATCTTTAATTGAAGGTAACAATACGGTACATTTTTTTTATTATTATTATTTGTGTGTGTGTGTGTGTACCCTCAAATCAGATCTGACTGGTACAGGAGGAGATTGTTCCTCCTTCTCCAACAAAGCATCTGGTGGATTTGAACCACTCACCTCTGGGATTGCAGTGCACCTTTTTGCCAGTAGGCCACCAGAGCTCGCCTATGATACATTTTTTAATCACCTTAAAATGTACTACATACAGGCGAGCTCTGGTGGCCTAGTGGCAAGAAGCTGCACTGTAATCTAAGAGGTGCAAGGTTCAAATCCACCAGGTGCTCTGCTGGAGAAGGAGGAGCAATTTCCTCCTGTACCAGTCAGATCTTACTTGACGGTACACACAAAAAAGTAATAAAGTTAAAAAAGAAAGAAATCAGTTTTAGTTAAAAATAAATAAAATAAAATAAAATTTTTTAAAAAAAAAGTACTACATACAATGGACCACGCTCAGCCATAAAGAATAAGGGTGTTCTGAGCCTACAAAACAGAAGAAATGTAAAAAGAGCTTGCTGGATGAAAGAAGTCAGTCATTAAAAGAGAAACAGTATGATCCCACTAATAAGAAAAACTTAGGCTAGGAAACGACAAACGTGGAGGGACCGAAGTTGACTGGAGGCGAGCAGACGAGGCAGAAGGGGGTAAAGACCCACATGCTCGAGGCCACCGAAGCCCGTCGGGATGATGACGTCATCCAGGATGGTGGACAGATATGCGGTAAACACAACTATGTCACTGAGCTGTGAATGAGAAGACTGTGAGCGTCAGATGTCTTGTACACATTTGTCTAAAACAATAAACCACAACTTAAAGGCAGGGCTCGAAAAAGAGCTTTGGAAAAGGCAAGATGACACGTGTTCCGGCAGCAGCCAGCACTGGTGACAGGCGGTCAGCTGCAGGGTGCCCGTCACAGCTATCCAGTTAAGAGAAAGGACTTTGCAGCACAACACTAGGATGGCGATGTGCGGATTCCTACTCACAGAAGACTCACTAAACTTAAATGATTCACCTTAAACTTAAAGACAAGGCAAAGAAACCTGGGATGTGTTAACGCTGTTGTCTGTCATCCAAGGAGCAGAAAATACTGACTGATCCTACTCCTTCAAGAGAAACAGGTAGACTGGTAAACAATACGGTCTTCATCCCACAAGCGATCGTTTCAAATAAGAGATCCCACGGCCTCTTGTCAGGAAGTTGAGTGTCAACCATGATCTCTTACTGGTACGCTTCTGCCACACGTTCCCATTCCTCCCACGTCAACCTGGCAACCGCTCTGCTCAACACCATGTTTTCACCCCAGTTATGCCAACAAGTAGCTGTACAAACACCGGGCAATCGCCCGAGCTCACCTTCGTCACTAGCTGCCTGCTGCTTCACCACCGTCATGAGGGACCGGGCGGGAGGCTTGCTGAGGGGATGGCGACGGCTCTTGGCAGTCTTAGTCGTCCCGTGTACGCTCTGGTGACAGACAGGGAAGAGGAGAGAGGGTCACAGTCACGATTAGTTACTAAAGATACAAAGTTCACGGTGATGGACAATGACTTCATTCCGAAGAAACCCTGGCATGTGTTTGCATACTTGTTAAAGACCCAGCCTTTTCATTTACCTCTTTAAATGCTTTTTAAAACAAATTCCAAAAAGGCGAGCTCTGGCGGCCTAGTGGCAGGAAACTGTACTGCAATCCCAGAGGTGCGCGGTTCAAATCCACCAGATGCTCTGCTGAAGAAGGAGGAACAATCGCCTCCTGTACCAGTCAGATCCAATTTGACGGTACACACATAAGAAGAATTCATTATAAAAAAAAAATCCAAAAAACCCCAACAAATTCCATTTATAGCCTCAGAAGGCCACCGGAGGGTCAACTGTGAGTCAGTTCTGATGTAAAGGCCGTAAGTATGAGGCTCTTCACAGGAGCAAATTGTCTCCTCTTCCTCACATGCAACAGCTGGCGGTTCCAACACTAACCATTTAGTTTGCAGTTAGACAAGTGGACCACCCGTCCTCACTAATACAAGAAAACACTGGACAAAATGATATAAACATGAAAAAAGGAGAGCTTGATCACAAGGGTTGTTTGGCACTTGGTGTCAACAAAACATGACCCATTCACAATTCTGGACGAGGGGCACCCCGAGTGCACGAGCCGTGGCAGCACCACCCCGTCTCCGGAGCTGCCAGTGTCGGCTCTGGGAAACGATGGAGCAAAGCCCTGGTGGGATAGCATTTTCCTTGGAAGTAAGGAAACTCAGAAGGATTCTATTACTGCTTTTAAGTTTACAGAATTTGACTAAATACAACTGAACTGGCCTTTGGCAAATGTCCTTTCATAAAGAATTCCAATTTAATCCTACATAAAATTGAGGTGTAAATTTTGTTCATGGTACATGAATACTCAACATTCAAACTGCCTTTAGACACGTCCTCAATTAAGTTAGGCCATGTTCTTGTATTCATATGTTTCTGACAGATGGACAAATGAGTAGATCGGATGATCTTTGTGTCAAGTGTAATGCAAAAGCATGAATCATTTTGAGAGTCATAGGACCTAGTCAGAAAATTACTATTTGACTTGTCATCTTAAGGCATCTTGGAAGTCAGGAGTTCAAATCTACTGTCCTGACCCAATCCCACAGCCAGTGCTGGATCTGAAAGGGCCTGGGGAGAAGGAGCAGGAGCAAAGAGGAAGGGGTGCCTGGCGCCCAGCCTCCTCTGTGGACATTGAACAAAGTCACACAGGTCAAAGTGACCACCATACAATTCTGCGCACACAATTCACTATCACCTGACCTACTCAAATGTATGTCAAAAAGGTTTAATACTAACATTATGCTAGATCCCAATGGCTTCAAACAATTACATCTTGATGTTTATCCTAGAACATCAAGAAACAGGAAGGATCTTTCCAGAACATCAGAATAGGAAGCTGGTAACCGAAAGACTTGAAGAGCTGAGTGACACTCAGCCACTGTGACGGAGCACTGTGATCGAAGGTTCCACAGATGAATGCCGGACTAGACTAAAAGGACTTGACTTGGAAACATTCTGGGCAAGTTATCAGGGGGGTTGGTTTCTGAAGAAAGACATAATATTTGGTAAAATAAAGAGTCCATTAAAAAGAGGCAGGTCCTCCAGAAGATGGATTGACACAGTGACTGCAGGGATGGGCTGGGCAGGGCAGAGCTGTTGAGGATGGCACAGAATGGGCAGCGTTTCACACTGCTGTACACAGAACCGCTATGGGTTGGAGACGGGTCAGCGGCACCTAACAACAGCATACTTTGAGAGAAAGAAAGGACTCTGAGGGACGCCAGGGCTCTCTGTGGGAGGAAGAAGCCAGAGAGAAGTCAATCAGCTTTTGGAACTCAGGTCCATGAAGACAGTGGGCTGGTGGGGATTCACAGGCAAACGTCACAGGAAGAAGCCTGGGCCCTGATATAAACTGTTGACAGCAGGATGTCAGAGTTCTGCGGGCAAGCCCATCCCAGCCCCATTAACCCCGCAAGGGCTGAACCACCAGAGCCAGGCATCAGCATCCTGGCTGAGACGCCACAAGGTCATTCTGAAGGACGTTACCTGCTGAGTAAATGAGGCAAAGGTTGCATGGAAACTTTCAAAGCTATTTGTTCAACCTCATGTGAATACACAATTTGATTTTTAAAAACTTTTTTTAAATGGGCAAACTAAGCTCCCATATGAAGCCAGGGGTTCCAAGCTCTCTGAATGCTACCTTGTGAGGAGTTTGCAAGAAGCTACCTCCCAGGCATCTATCTAAGGAAACACGATTAAGATGCGTACATGTGAAATGTTACTTCTTTCTGCCCTCAAGCAAGAGTTCAGTGCACAGCATGGTGTTTTCAGAGAGGGCTCTCGACATACATAAATCCAGTAAGAACAGAAGTACCACATACATGAGGAGGTTTGAAGCCATTTTTCTCTCCACTGGGGTCCATCGGGACCTCTCCGGGTTCCAGGCTACTCGCGCGGCTCTCCACGTCACTCTCATCTCCCTCGGTCCACGCACTGTTACTCTCGGTCGCTGAGGAGCACGACTCGGATGACCCTGAGAGCCGGGAGGAGTCGGCGTCCTTGAACATCACCGAGGCCTTCTGCGAAGTTACGGTGTCACCAGCCTGCTCAGTTTTCATTTCCTCCGTCACTGATGAGTCGTCTCCTGAGGGATGGAGCAGGACACCATGAGTCGACCGTCTACTGAATCATTTAAATGACTCTCAATTGCATAACAACCTTCCAACCTCCCGTACCTTTCCACAGGTAAGACCTCAAGGTGAAATCTCAGACTTTGGCAAAAGGGAAAAAAAAAGCCCTACAAAACAAGATATTAAAAAGAGCACCACTACAGTGCATCACCATAAGACAAGCCAGAGAAGAAACAGCAGTGAATTTTTCCTAAAAATTTGAATCTTTTCTATAATGGACTATCCTCTAATGCAGGAATTTGGATCCCGTGAGGAAGGAAGCTAAGAGCCGCTGCTAGTAAACCAACCAGACTCAAAGGATCACGAGGGCAGTGCAGATGCAACTATTTCCTATCAGTCAGCTGTATTTCCCATCCTATTACATTTTCCTATTACTTCCTATCCTCCAACAGTTATTTCCTATCAAGCACCCATTATTTCCTGCACTAACCTCCTATCAAAGCCGGCATGTAACAGGAGAAGATTCCAGGGAACAGCACATCTTCCCTTCCCGCCCCTACCCTTTCTCTACTTGGCTTGTGCGTGCTTGCACACGTATGTTCACCACTATTCACTTGCTCTGATGCGGGGCAAAGTCAAGGCCTCCTTGGGCTCGTGTCTAAGAGGAGAACTTTCCGTTTATCAACCTCTCAAACGCTTCAAGCAGCTCTCAAAAGCTGGAGATCAAAATGCCAGGAACTATGGTCTAAGGAACTAATGAAATTTGGTCCTTTGAATCTAAACTATGCAGTAATTAAAAAATTAGATTAATCCACTCTAGTGTGGTAGACGAGATGGTGAGGGATCAGAGAGGAGGACGTGAATGTCCTGGGCCCAGAGGGGAGCCCTGGGTGGGAGCCCCGGGTGGGAGCCCCGGGGGTACAGCAGTCACACTCTCTACCACTAGCGGAAGGCCGGCGGCCCAGCCATGCTTGTCTGTTTCCATAAGGATTTACAGCCTTGGGGAAACCCTGTGGGCCTTTCTTACAGGGTCCATGTGCATCAGAATCCACTTCACAGCAAAGGCTTTGGGAATTTGTCCCGTTTTTGTTTTTATTATTATGTAACTGCTCTCTCAGTGCTGGGTTCCTTCCCTGTCTTCTCAATCTGACGAATTATCCATCGCTCACAACCTGACTGAGGAATCAGCTATGAGTGTAAGAACTCTTTCCTGTTCAGCCTTCGAGCTCTGTTAGGGTCTTTCCTATGTAGGTCAGTAACTCCCTACACCATCTCTACCGTGGAACTATCCAGACTGGGTTGTAACTTACCTGCTTATTTATCGAACCGCCCACTGAAACACACAAGCCTTAGAAGAAACCTCATGGCTGAAATTCTAATTCACAGAGAGTGTAAGACCAAAAGGTAAAGAGGATAGAAAAATAGTCTTAAAACCAGACTATTCAGAACCACAACAAGGACTTGATCTTTCTGGAAAATGGAATCAGATTAAGAAAAAGGTAGGAACAAGATCCATGCAGGGAAGGACAGTGTGTGTGGCCTCACATATTTCAGACATGGTGTAAGGAGAGGCCAGGCCTTGGAAAAAGACATCGTGCTGGAAAAGGAGAGTCAGTGAAGGAGGGAGGGAGGTTGCTGAGCGAGAACGACACAGTGATGACAATAGGCTGTCGTGTGGCAGAGAGGGTGAGGATGGCCCAGGGCAGAGCAGGGTCCAGACCCATCACCCTACGGTCTCAGCGAGTCACAGTCAACTCACCACACCTAACAACATGAACCCCATACGGAGAGAATCACTGAAGCCGTGGTGAGAGCAGAGAGAGGGAAATAGGACAGAAGCGATGCTGGCAGTAACAAAGGCAGGAGACGAGAGTGCTGGACGTGAGGGTGGAGGTAACGGAGACGGTCAGACTCACGCACAGACTCAAGACTGCAGGAGATGCTGGCGCACTGGACAGGAGAGGGACAGGCATTTCCAACACATCCATATACTCAGAAGGGAAAACCAAAAAATCTCAAAGAGGCAAGGCATCAAAGCTGTTCCCAAGAAACGCGGCAAAGCAGCCAAGATTGACAAACGGCCGGTTTTAGCATTCAGAAACAGCCTCACCAGATTATTTTTGTTGTTCTTTTCTAGAACTTAAATCCTTTCCTTTTCTTCTGAAAATTAAATCAAATGTTAAGAATTTGCAAAAATTTATCTATAATTGGGTTTCTCTGTTTCAGGAGAATGCAAGAGTTCAAAAAAATAGCATATTGTGTCTCATAAATTGAGTCCCATTGAGAAAAGCTTCCCTTTCCTTTTCAGGGTTTTGGTTTTTTTCTTTCTTTGCATTTAGTTTTAATAATCATGCTCAGTACTGAACAAATGAAAAACTTAGATGTTTCATAGGGGTGGGGGAGTGGGGGGAGGTAACCCCCTTTGTTATTAACCAAATGGGCACAGTTGGTCGTGTGTGAAGTAGCAGAGTTGCGTCTGGCTCTGGACCACTCCCTCGGCCTCCTGACTGAACCTAAAACCATCCATAACTTACTGATTGAGGTCCCCGGAGTCGCAGGTCTCTGTGTTAGCGCACACTAACGTACGGCATCAGGCCAGAAACAGCTGCATGAGAAGCATGTTGTTGCTGTTGGGTACAATCAAGTTCAACACTAGCGCCTCGGGGCCCTATCAACAACAAATCAAAACCCTGCAAAGCCTACAACGTCCTCCCAATCTCTTCCATGTCCAAGTCCACTGCGTGGTCACCGTACAATCCATCTCTGCCACTTTCTCACCTGAGCCTGTGACGTTAGAAGACAGGCTGGAATCCAGCAGCTTTTCCTCCGCAGAGGTTTCCTCCTCGGAAGATGCTCCGTTGTGCAGCTGCGTTGCTGCATCCAGCCTGTCATCAACCTTGAGCTCGTGTGTGGCCCGGGGAGGAGGGGTGGGCAGCTCAGCCCCACCAGCTGCGTCGGACACCTCTTCTTCTTCATCTGAGGCCTCCTCCTCTGTGTCTGACTCGTCCTCATCATGTCTGGTTTTAGGCCGTTTAGGGTAAGAACCGTCGTACTGGAAGCTGTTAACAAGAGAATCTGCCGTCAGAACAGAATATTGCCATCCACGGCGCAGAGCACGCACCACGACAAATGCCCTAAGAAGATGACTTATTCCCAGACTGGAGAACAAAACAGCAATGCTGGACTCATTCTGCAAAGTAGTCTTCCCAGCTGGTGCAATAATCCGACACCAAGATCATAACCATTTTTGGAAACAGGTTCTAAAGATGCAAAACTGACACAAATGTAGATAACTGATTATTAAATATTAAGGATAAATAAAATTCATTGTGAAAATTTTGTAACAACAGTAACAAGAGAGCGTGGAGAGCAGTATGCTGAGTAAACTAGCCCAGTCTCATAAGGACAAATACTGCATGGGGCCATTATTGTAAAAATAGAAGGATAACTAGTAAAACATGTGTAGGAGCTCAAGAAGGGAAGGGATGGGAGCAGAGGGGTAGGCAGGAGGAAAGGGTTGCAGTTTGGGGTGGGGTGAGGGGGAGTTAATGTCAGAGGGAGGAAAGAATATCAGTAAATTAATGGCAATCTGAACAATGAAGAAAGGAAAAGAGTATCAGCAGATCCCACAAAGCTGGTGTTAAAACCCAAGTAAATCACAGATGCCACAAAGTGAACTACGTTTTCTCCTTGGCTCTGTATGATTCTCAGGTATAAAAAAGATAATAAAATCAAAAGCCAAATCCAAGGCTTCAAACAGGTTGGTTTGAGTTTAACTCCTTGCTGAGAAATGGCCCCTTCACCAAAGATATTTGGAATCATCTAGATGTCAAGTATATTTATGAATCATCAGGGGATCTTGTTAAAATATAGACTGTGATTACATATACCTGGGGTGCAAAAGCACACTTTCAGACCAGAATGAACCCGTTCAGATACACAGCCAAACCATCCTTAGTTAAGCAGGAGGAAAGAGAACTCTGTGTGTCACATTTAACATGAGCTTGTTATTTTCAGAATGGGCGCCACTTTTTTTTCCTCTTTTCTATTTTCTATTCTGTCAGTCATTTGACAGTTTTGTTGCAGATTTTGATCAAGGCACAACATTTACAATGCTTCCATGTAGGAACAATTCCATAGGAAATCTCAGTATCCAGAGCAGATATAAAACCACAATGCACATTACAAGAGACACATACACCAAAACACACACCATGACACAAGTGCTGTAACAAGGTGGGGAAAGAGAGATCAGAGATCAGGAAGGAAGCGAGGGGTGAGCTGAACACAGGAGAAGTGACAGCTACTGCAGCTGCTGTGGAGGGTGGGACAGCACGGCATCGTATCCCCATCACCACAGTGACTGACAAGGTCCACAGAAACCCCTTCACATGACATGCCACCAACACCCAAATCTGTTTCTGTTGAATCACCTCCCACTCAGCGTCCTCACTGTTGTTGCTTTTGTCGTTGTGTGCGGCTGAGTAGTAACCATCTAATAAGTGACCCTCCAGGGGGTTTTCAGAGGCAGTAACCAGCACAGGAGGAGACTTCCCATTCTTCTCCCATGGAGCGGCTGATGGACATGGATGGTGCCTTTGACACTGCAGCACAGTTTCTTATTAAGCCTCCAGAGCTGGCTTAGCAATCCCTAGGACAGAGGAGAGATGCCCCTAAGACTTTCCTAGGCTATCACCTCTAAGAGAAGCAGACTGTCACATCCCTCTTCCAGAGCATGGCTGGTGGGTTCACACGGATCAACTTGCAGTTTGCAGCTGAGTGCTTCACCACTGCACCACCAAGGAAGTGAAATAAAGTGGCTGACATCTTTTTTAGACATCAACGTATCATTCCCTTGATTAGATGTCCCCAGAGAGAATATGAATTAAAGAAGATCAACAATCTGTATGAATCAAGAAAGAACCATCAGCAATGGTCAACTCACAGGTAACAATTTAGATAAGGTCCTTAACACTGGGCTTTCTAAATAGATGGTAACAGATTTGTTTGCCCTACTGAAAATCTCACTGTCAGAGGAGAGGAACACTGAGTTCCACACCCAGGAGCCCAGATCGTACACTCGGTGAGAGCCGTGTGCTCTCTACACTACGCAGCAGTTCTCAGATGTTCTGCTGGTTTCCTTCTGAGCTCAGGATGAACTAACCCAGCTCTCAAAGCTGATGTCTTGAGAAACATCTGTCCAAGGCAGTAGCCATTGACACTGGTGTTTCTCAGGGCTTTTTAAATACAAGTCGTTGTATGACATCTCAGGAGAGCAGTAGGATAAGTGCTGAAATGTTGACCAAAAGCCCAGAGCTGAGCACCAGCCAATGGGACAAAGAGAAGGCAGTGTGCTCCCAGGAGGATTCACCGTGGCGATGCCGGAGCCGAGCCGAGTCAACGCAGTGGGCTTGATGGGCAGAAGATATGAACAGACTCTACACCAAAGAAGAAAGTCAGCCAGCTTATAAACACAAACAAAAATGCTCAAAATCCCCAGTTATTCGAGATATGCAAATTAAAACAATGAGATATCCTCTCAACCCAGAAACAACAGCAAAGATCAACAGGACAGCAAATATCAAATGTTGGCAAGGATGTCAGAACTCTCATACACTGCTGGCAGGAATGTAAAATGGTACAGAGTGGAGCTTCTACAGAAATTTGAAAATAGATAATTCCATTTGGCCCAGCTATCCCATCACTGGGTATATAACTCAAAGAAATCAGAGCCGTAACAAAAAGATGTATACACACATTTGCTGCTGCATTATTCACTATAGCAAAGACATGGAAGCAGCACACGTGCCCATCAAGAATGAATGGATAGAGAATAGAATATTATGAAGCACTGAAAAATGATGAGCTAAAAAAAAACAACACTGCACTAACAGGATGAAATCTGGAAAACATTTGAGAGAAATAACTCACTTAACAAAAGGACTAATACCGTATACACTGTTGAAACAATAGGATGGATTGGGCGGGGAAGGAAAACAATGGGTAGATAAGAAACACTGCACTTGAATAGTGCAAGGATGAAATTAGACATCAAAGGGATTAAAACAATCTTAAACAAGCCAAGCATTACAAATGGAACTGGGAAAGGGAGGAAAATGTGCAATATTTTTAAAAAGGGAAAGGGGAACCAGCCATACAGAGGATCACCAGTGTAAGTTACAGGGTAATAGATAAGTTGAGCTTTATTTCTACAGTTAACTAGTTCCGTTCATTAAAAAATATTATAAACTACTGAGATGTGACTCCACTTTTTAAAAATTCTTTGCTTGTTATCATTGCTACCAAGAACAGAAAATAAGACAGAGGGGTAATAAATCAGAAAATAAGCATCTGGGTGGGCAAGGCTTACAAATCAATGTCATCTAATAAACAGCAAAAATGAAAAATAAACTACAGGTCCAAATAAAGAAGGTTAACTACACACAGGCATTAAAAACCATTTTGTAAGGGAACTCTGGTGGCCTAGTGGCAAAGAAGCACACTGCAATCCTGAAGACACACAGTTCGAATCCACCAGATGCTCAGCTGGAACTGTTGTTGTTGTTATGTGCCATCGAGTCGCTTGCAACTCATAGCAACCCTATGTACAAGAGCCCTAAATGCCGTTCTGTCCTGTGCCAACCTCACTGTCTAAAAAACACTCATTCCCACCACTCCACTCACAGAATTGATCCATCTCATTGAGGGTCTTCCTCTCCTGTGCTGTCCCTCCACTCTCCCAAACATGATGTCCCTCTCCAATGACCAGTCCTTCCTTGCAACATGCCCAAAGTATGTCAGACGAAGCTTCAGAATCCTTGACCCCAAGGAGCATTCTGGCTTCACCCTCTCCAGGACAAACCTGTTTGTTCTCCTAGCAGTACACGGTATATTCAACACTCTTCTCCAGCACCACAGCTCAAAGGCATCAACTCTCTTTCTATCATCCCTAGTCACTGTCCAACTCTCTGATGCATAGCATGTAACTGCAAAGACTATAGGCCAAATCAGGCACACCTTAGTCTCTAGCCTGATGTCTTTGCTCTTCAGTACTCTTGAGAGGTCCCTCACAGCTGACTTTTCCAATGCAATTCATCTCCTGATTTCCTGGCTGCTGCTACCAAGAGCGTTGACTATGGAACCAAGTAAACTAAAACTGTTAACTATCTCAATCTCTTCACCATCCATACTGATGCTGCCAATTGGCCCAGTGGTGGCAATCTTTGTCTTCTTGACGTTGAGCTTCAATCCATATTGAAGACTGCAGTCCTTGACCTTCTGCAGCAAGCGCTTCAGGTCCTCCTCAGTTTCAGCAAGCAGGGTTGTGTCATCCGCATAACACAGGTTGTTGATTCTTCCACCAATCCTGATGCCACATTCCTCCTCATAACAGCCCAGCGTCTCGGATGATCTGTTCTGTATACAGATTGAAAAGGTATGGATCTTAAGAAGAAAGGAAAAAAAAAAAGGTATGGAGACAAAATACATCCCTAATTGACCCCTTTCTTGATTCTGAAGCATCCAGTGTCTCCATTCTCTGTTCTGACGACTGCCTCTTGGTCGAAGTGTAGGTTTTGCATTAGCACAATCAAATGTTCTGGGGTTCCCATTCTTCTGAGTCAGCCATAACTTGTTGTGATCCACAGAGTCAAAAGCCTTTGCAGAGTCAACGAAGCACAGATACACATTCTTCTGGTATTCTCTGCTTTCTGCCAAGATCCATCTAACATTAACTAGAATATCCCTAGTACCACGACCTCTTCTAAATCCAGCCTGCACATCTGGCAGTTCTCTGTTGACATATTGTTCCAAACGTTTTTAGATAATTTTCAGCAGAATATTGCTTGCATGTGATATCAATTATATTGTTCGATAATTCCCGCACTCTGTTGGGTCACCTTTCTTTGGAATGGGAACAAATATCGATCTCTTCCAGTCAGTTGGCCAGCTGGCTGTCCTCCAGATTTTCTGGCACAACTTAGTGAGCACATCCAGGGCAGCGTCTGTTTGATGAAATAAATCAACTAGTATGCTGTCAACTCCTGGAGCCTTGTTTTTTGCCAATTCCTTCAGAGCAACTTGAACTTCCTCCTTCATCATTATAGGCTCTTGCTCATATGTTATTTCATGAAATTCCTCTGAGTCAGCCAATTCCTTCTGATACAGTGACTCTGGGTACTTCTTCCATCTTCTTTTGATATTTCCTGGATCATTTAACATTCTACCCAAACTATCTTCAAGTATTACCACCCATGGCTTGAAGTTGTTTTTCAATTCCTTCAGCTTAAGAAATACTGAGCAAGTTCTGCCCTTTTGATTTTCTGACTCCAGCTCTCTGCACATTTCATTACAGTATTTTGCCCTGTCGTCCCGGGTTGCCTTTTGAAATTTTCTGTTCCGCTCTTTGATTTCTTCCTTTAGCTTTGGCTTCTCAGCACTCTAATGCAATACTCAAGAGTCTCAGCCGACATCCATCCTGGTCTTTTCTTCTTCTTCAGCTTTTGTAATGATCTTTGTAATGTAGGCGGGGCAATCTCCCCCTGTGCCAGTCAGATCTGATTCACGGTACACACAAGAAAAGGGGGAGGGGGAGAAATGATTTTAAAAATAACAACAAAAGAAAAAGTTTTACTAAATTATTTTACTACATTAAAACATGATCATAAACTAGTCACCAGACTAGTTAACAGAGCATGATTCAATGTTCAAAAGTTGCATAAAATTATATAATATATAGTATTTCAGTCAAAATGTCTTCCAAAATTGAAAAATATCATCTTAAAAAGGGAAAAAACCTTACATATTTAATACACAAAAAATAATTTGGTCTTGAAAGACCACAGCAGGCTGAAATGGAATGCCACTGTCACAGAAATGGGAGGTAGCGTGACATTCACAAAGACACCAAGGCTCAAAGACATCATCCATCGCACTTCACAAGAATATTGCATCATTAACTCGAGTGTCTACAATGTGCTAAGGTTTAGCTTCCAGATGAGAAAACATAGTATCCTGGGATCTTTGATATGTGAAGATTAGAACAACTCAGGACAGAAAGAAAATAAGCAGGAGAATGAAAAAGTTTAAAATCAAGTTGATAAAGTAGATGAATGGCTCTTGGGCACATTTGACTAAAGGGTCTATGGCACGCTACAATTATCCAATTTGCCAGGTAGAACTTTTTCTTCTCAAACACAACATACATCCTTTCCAAAAACAATATATTTATCATACATTTCATGAACTGAAAACACTTGGCTTCAAACGTTCATAAAACAAAGGAAGGAAGGAATGATGAGTGGGAAAATCAAACACTGTTTTGGGGAACATGCTGCCTACTGACTGGTTTGGTCTACACTGGTGAAACAGTGCTGGGGAGGAGTCCCAGGGAAGGTGCTAAAAGGGGCCTGGGGGAGGAGCTGGGAGGGGCCTGGGGAGGGGTT